GCGCGTCGGCCAGCTGCACGTCCGCTCGCACCGTGTGGAATCTGTTAGTGTTATATACTGAAAGCTTGGCTTTGCATGTTATTACACATTTACCCTTTATGAATGAGAATCATGTTAGATTAAACAAGTTCTACGTTCTGTTGTTCTGCACTTAGATAGTGTGGGTCATCATCGGGCGAACCGAAGATCACTCTATCAGTTACTTGCGAACAAGAATAGTTGTTCACAACCTAGATGGACATGAACACCCCATCCGAACGGTTGTAGTGTCAACTGTACAGTTTGTCTTGACTGATTAGTTGCACTAGTACATTTATGTATTGAACAGGATCCCAGAGAGGAGAAGTTCATTTTATACTGATCGTCGTAAATGAACTAGGCCTCGGTTAATTACTGCGTTCTCTTAACCCGTAAGATATTAAACAGGCAGATATATATAATATATATTACTTTGATTCACATGGGTGAGGTTCAGTTCGCTGGATTAATATTCCTACTGTTTTGGGTAATATTATTATATATAGGATGTGCTGTTAGGATATTTACGGTCACCATGTGCGTTAGTTTGATGATGTCCCCGGAGTGAGTTCATGAAGGATTGTTATGCTAAACCCTGCAGGTGGATTAAATTCCGGCATAATAAGAATGTGATGAACGAGCGCTAGCTTCGGTGAAATAATAATAAATTAATTAATTCTTGATTGTCAGTAATCGAATTAATTAATGGACATTATATCTTAAACGTAGGGAGGTAAATCGAGTAATTATTATTGGAGTCTCAAATGTAATTTGGGCTAGGGAAAGGGAGTGCAATAATATAATGTTGGTGGCCCATTAATATTATTTAATTAATTAGAGGAGTGGGTTTGGCCCACAGTTAGTCTAATTAATTAAGGAGCCCTTTTCCTGATCTCCTTAGGGTCCCTACTGTAGCTCTATATATACATCATTAAGCTCATGAGAAGATAATCCCAATCCTATTCACACGTGAATAACGCCGCCCATCTCTCTCTCTCTAGATCTCATTCGAGCTTTATCTTCTTCTTGTTGCTCCACTGGTACAAGTTGAAGAAGGGTGTATTGAGTAATACAGTAGAAGATCTGTAGGTAAACCGAGACGAAATAGATTTTGACCTACAGAACTAACCGGAAGTCCGATTGAGACGTACAGTATACCCAGACGACCGTCTCGACGAGAGCTTTCCATCGCTACCGACGTCGCCGGAATCCGACGCTGCACGCGCCCTCACGCGCCGCCGCAAGGTGTCTGGCAGCAAAATTTCGTTTTGATCTGTTTGCATCCGTTTTATCCAGTTTTGATCTGATCTTGTTCGTGCAACCCAAGACGCGTGTTGCGGTCAATCAATTGCGGTCAACCGTTCGTGGTCAACCAAATCTACATAAATTTTAAGCCGTAAGTTCTGTACGTCAAACCTTTAGATCCGCTGCGCATAGGTTTATGTTTGCTATTGAATTCGTGATTTGTACATAACGAGATCCTCACAGATCCCAACAGAATCGTCTCGCGTGACCTTTCTCCGTGCGTGTCCACGGCTCACATCGTCTTCCTCGTGCTTGACCACCTCGTAATCGAGCTTGCGCTCGTCTTTTAGGCCATACATGCGTGGTTTTGGCCCTTTTCCCGGCCTTCTCGGGTCGTCTCGACCCTTGGTCCTCGGTGTGCTCGGGTCTCGAAACCCACATCTTCATCATTCCTCCCCCCTTCGAATGGGTCCTTGTCCTCAAGGACTCGCCATCGACCATCACCTTCTTGACCTCGTCTCCATCGGTCCCGATCAAAGCCTCCTCCTTGACTTCGTCGACCACGTCTTCTGTTTCGACCATGCACTTGTCCTTGTGCTCGACTTGCTCGACCACAAATTTGGCCTCGTACTTGACTGGCTCGACCACACACTCGGCGATTTTATCTTCGACATAGCCCGGCGGATCGAACGTAAACACAGGCTCCTTTTCAACGAACTCCTCCGTACGTGACTCGAGTTTGCGTATCCTCGCCCGGTACTTAGTTCGCTACACAACTCGTCTAACTTATCGAATTCTTTATCCTGCAACCTCCTTCTTTTGCCAATGCGTTTCAACTCTTTGATTTCTTCTTTGACCTCTTTGATCCAGCACTCTAACTTCATCTTCTCCATTCGATCCCTCCACTCCAAATTACTCATTAACTTTTTTTTTAACACTCACGCAAAACCCCAAAACAAACTTTTTTCTTTTAATATTAATAAACAACTAATAATATACTAATCCTAACTTGTGCCGCTTAACAAACTAACACGGCAAAACAAATCTTTAATAATTTTTTTTTTTACGCCAAAACACTGTGTCGATCTAATCTCTCAATTTCAACCTAAAAACTGAATCAATTTCAAGAGGGAATAGGAATTAAATCTTGCGCCATTGATGACGTATGCCACTTGGTGCTCGAAACTGTCGGCGAGGACGAGGACGGAGTCGGAGATCGTGCGTTATCTGGAGGTCGACTAGTCGGTGGAGGGTGAGGTTGTGGGTGGTGTGAGCGGACGGCCGACTCTGCAGCGTGGGGGAGCAGGTGGTGTGGTCGAGGGACAACCACTTTTCGATGGAGGTCCGGTGGTCGGTCACGCCGGTGCAAAGGCTCGGTAGAGACATCATCATGCCCAGAAGCTCGCCGACTCAGATTTCTGCAATTCTTTCTTGAACCAGATGTGGAGCCACGAGATGCTGGCCAAGTTCCTCCAAGCCGCAGATGGAGATGGTGATCTACGGCATCGGCAACATTGGGGCTTCTTAGTGAACTGCCTTCTAAAGACTTCTTAGTCGATGAAAGATTCATTCGAGCCATTTGGATGCTGCTCGAGCTCGCTGTCCTGATGAAGAGGAGATTTGACTGGTGTTTGCCCGATTATCTTATCGAGAACTGCCACGTTTGCAGAAATGGCGAGTCGTGGGATCAGAGGATCGATAAAGTGCCCATCCGACTCTCGACCCTTGAGACCGACTTATAATGGAGAGAGTCGAGTACATGCTCGACGTGGAATACAAAATGTTCAGCCTCAGGAGCAGCAAGGAGAATTTCCACATCATAATGTCTCTGCTTTCCTGGATATGGGATTTGGTTAGGATGAGGCATGATAGGTTGAGAGTGGCTGGTTAGGATGAGATGAATTTCCACCTCATAATGTCTCTGCTTTCCTGGATATGGGATTTGGTTAGGATGAGGCATGATAGGTTGTGAGTGGCTGGTTAGGATGAGATATGATAGGTTGAGGCTTGTGGAGAGACTTAAGTGTAAGTATTAGCATAAGTTCATGTTGAGGTAACAATGATTAGTTGAGCATTGTAATTGCGGTTCTACTATGTATATGCATTATGTACTATGTCATTTGGTCTTTTTGGTTGTACAAGGAATATGACATATTGGATTTTGCTTACAAGGTGCTTGTGTAAAATGGCTGAGTGCTTTGATTTGTGTTATTTGTCTGGTTTTGACTGAAAGTTGCGCTGCATTTTTGTTCAAGAATGCTAAATAAAGTTAACATGAAGATGATTTAACAGGTTTGAGTTGGGACTCTGTACTTTGTGATGTACTTTGTGCTGGTGTTGTGGTGAATGGAGTATGTGATTCGAAGCCTGAATTCAATGGGAAGCTGTTTCCAAACCTGGGCTTTGCATATCTCCTTGTCGGATGTTTTTCCTATATATCTGCCTTGGCTTTATCATATCGGGTGCAATTGGAATATTGTCCTTCATTTTCAGGATGCTCCAAAACAGAAACAGGTCTAGAGAATTATTACAGGAGCAAAAAACATTCTCACAGACATTGAAATATTGTCCTATATATCTGAATTCAATTTCCAGCTGCAATTGGAATATTGTCCTTCATTTTCAGGATCCTCCAAACAGAAACAGGTCTAGAGAATTATTACAGGAGCAAAAAACATTCTCACAGACATTGACATTGTTCATCGACACTGGATATAATTTTTTTTTTCTTTCCTTTTTTCCCTGGCACTGCTGCTTACCTTTTTTTATTTTTTCCGAAACGGATAAATGATTCACTTAAACGAAACTTCGAAAGCGTACAACGGCATACAACTGAATGCAATCCAAACTCCCTACTACCAACCTAGCAGGAATCAGGAGACGGGTAAACCAGAAAAGGCGTTGTCCCATAAGAAACGAACCAAACACTAAGCAAGAAATTTAAAGAAAAACAAAAACACCGCCAAGCACCGAAATAGCGGCCCTACAGAACTAGCCAAAACAAACAGGCAAAAGCCAAAAAAACAAACAAAACTACAGATAAGAGAAAAAAAATAAAATAGGACCAAAAAGAAACATCAAGATAGAACCAAAAGGAGCAAAAAAACAAAATAGGACCAAAAAGAAAAAGAGGAAGAACAAGCCAACAGCACCCAGCAAAAGCAAGACTTTGCCCTAACTTAGCTAGAGTCAACTGAAACTAACTTTGTGAAGTTGTGCTCCTTCAGATATTTGTTTAATGAAAAAAACAAAAACCATAAAACCATCAAAGCTAAAACCCGTTAGATTCAAACAAAAACAATGAAACTATAAATCATGAAACCCATTGGATTCATAAATTCTAAATTCAATAACTTCTTCATTCAATGTAAACAAACCATTAACAAATACAAAAAACAACCGTCAACGAACAAACAGCTCTAAATCCCTTCACCAAAAACCTAAGAAAAATGAAAAAAAAAAGAAGTCAAAATCATCACCAGAAATCCGGAACTCACTAGACCTTCTTGTGCGAATTTTAGGGGAACTCTCCGTCAGGCGAGGGTGAGAACTCCACCGACAGCTGTGGATCCGCCAATCCCCTAACAGCAGTCCCACCACCTCCCACCATCGATCGCCTACGAGATAATATTTATTATAAATAAAGAGAATAGGAAAAAAAAAATCAACTAAAGCAAGAATACATTAGAAATCAAGTATATTTTCACATACCAAAATAAGATGAGATTTACAGATAATCAAATGTCAAGGCCCCAATCATCGTCGTCACTCCCATTATTAGAATTGTGGTTCTTTTGAGAATCTTCTTCACTGCTACAATAGTCAACCAAAGTGTCATCCAACTCATCTTCGTTCTCGATGTCATATAGGCGTACAACCTCACCAACTTCATGTGAGCTTTCTATTATTGTATCGGCAATATCTTCGAGATCTATGTCCTTCCTATTCAGCAACTCTATTTCATCAAGACTAATGGTAAGCACATCATTTGCATCATTCGCCTGATATACTTCATCTTCCACAGCCAAGATATCATCAACATCCATTTCTTCATCTTGCATTTCATCAACATCATAAACATGCCTATGTTGGAATGGTTGTATTACTCGCCAATCATTTCCTAATTTAGGATCCTTGATGTAAAAAACTTGTCTTGCTTGATTTGCTAGTATGCAAGAATCATTCTCGTACCACTTTCTACTAACTCTAACGCTCACAATATTTCCGTCCTTCTGTATCCCTGGTCTTTTTTTGCACCCAAGATCAAACCAATCACATTTGAAAATGGTAACATGCCTATCTTTCACATAATCAAGTTGAATTATCTCGCTCAAGACCCCATAAAAATCAATGAAATCTCCTCCATGGTTACCTTCTACTACAACCCCACTATTCTGAGTTTTACGCCTATTATCACGTTCCTTAGTTAGAAACCTTACTCCATTTACAATGCAGCCGGAATATTTTCTCACACATTTTTTAGGTGCACAGGCCAGGGCATACAAAGACTCATGTGATTTAGATGGTTCTTCATGATATAACAAGGTCATCTGAAAAATACAAATAAAATTCTTAAAAATATAATGGAGTTAACTAAAAAAATGGAGATATATAATTAACAAGATAACTTTACATGTTTTTTAAACCATGCAGGAAATAGATCTTTGTGGCTTTTATCTATATTTTCACAACCACCCAATAGAAGTTCCTCCTTGTGCTTCCTACAACAAGTAACAATATATATGTGTTAGAAAATTATAAATACTTATATGTTATATGTTGTCTTTTGTGCGTAAGATATAATCACTGACTTACTCAAGATATGGTTCAACCTCTTCACAATTTTGGAAGACAAACCATTGAGTCATATTAAACTCCTCTTCGGACAATTCCACAAAGCTTGCTGCTCCAAAATGCCGACATTTTTGTGAGAAAATCGATAGGCTATCATCAAGCATGACATCAACATTTCTCTCATCTCTATTAAATCTAGTTTCAATTCCACGCAAATACATAGAGCAAAAAGTCAAGCACTCGTTTGCTATATACGCTTCTGCAACTGAACCTTCTGGATGAGCTTTATTGTGCACGGTTTGCTTCAAATCACCTAAAAACCAGTAAAATTTAATAAAATGTATTTTACATTACAATCAATCAAAACATTATCCGAATTTATAAAGATAAGAGATACCATAGTTTAACTTATTACCTTTCAATGGGATACATCCATCTAAACTGAATGGGGCCACCGAGCAATGCCTCATTGGGTAAATGAATAGACAGATGAACCATGACGTCAAAGAAAGCAGGAGGGTATATCTTTTCAAGTTTACACAATATAATGACTATATCTTCTTTCATTTGCTCTAGTTCAGTTTTTTTCAGCTTCTGGCAGCACAAACGTTGAAAGAAATAACCCAACTCTGCTAATACGTCACACACTTCCTTATTTAATGACCCCCGAATTCCAGTGGGAATTATTCGTTGTAAAAGTACATGACAATCATGGCTTTTCAATCCAGATATCTTTTGATCACGCGAACTCACACAACGAGAGATATTTGATGCATACCCATCTGGAAATTTTACGGACTTTAGAAACTCACAAAACTCCTGCTTTTCTTTTTTATTCATAACATAACATGCAACAGGCATATTATATTTTCCGTCACTTCTCTTGGTTAAGTGCAGCTCCTTTCGAATTTTCATATCTTCCAAATCTTGTCTTCCCTTGACGGTGTCTTTCGTTTTTGAATCTAAATTCATCAAGGTTCCTAATATACTCTCACATATATTCTTCTCAATATGCATTACATCTAAGTTATGTCTTAACTTCAACTTACTCCAATAAGGCAAATCGAAAAGAATGCTGGGCTTTGTCCAGTTCAATTCCTCCGGCTTTCTTTTCCTCTTTTTGCTGCTATGCTTTCCTGGATTCGTTTTTGGTATTCTCTCCAATTGCATTAATATGTCATCTCCTGTTAAATCTCGAGGTTCTTCGCTATCTTCTCTCTTCCCATTGAATTTCTTACTTCTTCTCCAAGCATGATCTTTCGGTAAATAACGTCGGTGCCCCATGTAACATATCTTATTTCTCAATCTCGAAGAAAAAGTGTTCTCATTACAAACTGGACAAGCCATATACCCTTTAGTACTCCACCCAGATAGATCGCCATATGCTGGAAAGTCATTTATCGTCCACAAAACAGCAGCATGCAATTGGAAATTTTCTTTACGGGAGACGTCATATGTTTCTACTCTATTAACCCACAATTCTTTCAACTCTTCAATTAATGGCTGTAGGTAGACATCAATATCTTTTCCTGGTGTGTTACCCTGGAATAAGCAACGACAACATAAAATATGGTTGCTTCATACAATCCCAAGGGGGGAGATTCAATGGGGCGAGAATCACTGGCCACATGCTATAAGTGGAGCTCAAGTTTCCAAATGGATTAAAACCATCTGCAGCTAAAGCTAGTCTGATATTTCTGGGATCATTTGCAAACATAGGAAACTCTCTATCAAAGTCCTTCCATGCCATAGAATCTGCCGAATGCTTCATGTAATCATCATCAATGCGTTTTTCCTTATGCCAGACCATCTTATTAGACGTTTTACGAGATATGAAAAATCGTTGAAGTCTGGGTGTCAATGGGAAGTACCTTAAGATCTTTTGTGGTATCTTTTTGCCTACACCATCATTGACTTTCCACCGAGAAGTTTTGCAAATAGGGCAAATCTCCAATTTCTCGTTCTCCTTCCAAAATAAGGCACAATCGTATTTACAAGCATGGATGCATTTATATCCTAATCCCATATCTCGCAAAAATCTTTTGGCTTCATAACAAGAATTTGGAAGTGTCTCGCTATCAGGAAAAGATAACTTCATTAACTTCAAAATCATATCTATTGTTTTATTACTTAGTCTATTATACACTTTCAAGTGGAGTAATTGGATGATAAATGAAGTCCTTGAAATCTTTTTACATCCTGGATACAACTCCGTCTTCGCATCCATCATCAATGACTCGAGATATGCTGGAACACCATCCGTACTACTGTTATTATTTTTGGAATTCGTACTGGTTTGATATTTCTCTGCAAATTCAAATAGCATGTCACTAATACCATCGTCTTCATCTTCAACTTAATCTTCATCATTGTGATCTGATGACTCTCTGTTGATTCCATAACTAGCACTAGTATATGAACTTCCTGGATTATTCGAACGTAGTTCACCATGATAAAACCATGTGATGTACCCCGGATCCATCCCACGCATCATGATATGACTTTCCACTGTTTTTTGATCTTTCATTGATAAATTCAGGCAATCTGTACAGGGGCATCGAATATCACATTCATTTCCCATATGAGATTCAACAAACTTCATAAATGTGTTTACTCCATCCAAGTAAACTTCAGACCATTTAGCTTCTCGCATCCAACTTTTGTCCATTTCTTGCTCAACCTAAAACAAATCATATAAAAAAATAAATCATAATGTTTTCTCCCAGATTAAAAAAAAAAAAAAAAAACTTGTACCTTGTAGAGACTTGAGATGGAATTGAGAATTTGGGAGGGAGACGAAAAATTGGGACGCCCTTGACTGATAACCCTCTCTACTAGACTACTACACAGTATACTCAAGCAGAGGCTTCTTGACGAGTGAGAGCTGAGATCAGCGGAGGAGACGACTGGGACCTGGGGTTGGAGAATATTTGGGGGTCTGGGGAGATTAAGGATTAGGAAACGATTTGAGCCTGAGGCGATTAAAATTTCAGATGAACTAAGAAGATAAAGATGAAATTTTGAGAACACTGGAGACGAGCGGGGCTGCAGGGTTAATTCTGTGCCTTCTTATTTTGCCTTTCCTTAAAATGTTTGTTAGTTACTATAATAATAATAATAATACCATATTTACTATATCATATGTATAATTTATTCAATTAATAATATTTTTGTATGTAAAATATATGTAAAAAATGTAATAATATTTTTATGTTTATAAGAAAATTTAAAAAAGTGAATTTCCAATCGAATCGTTTATATACCCTTGTCTTAAGCGAATTGAATATGAATCATGCATTAATTTTATTGTAAATCGAATACGAATAAGAATAACATAAGTTTAAAATCAAAGCGAACCGTATTCGATTTACAACATAATAAGAATAACATAATTTTATATATGTTATTCTTATTCATATTCGATTTACAATAAAATTAATGCATGATTCTTATTCAATTCGCTTAAGACAAGGGTATATAAACGATTCGATTGGAAATTCACTTTTTAAATTTTTTTAAAAACATAAAAATATTATTACATTTTTTACATATGAATATATTACATACAAAAATATTATTAATTGAATAAATTATACATATGATATATTAAATATGATAGTATTAATATTATTGTAACTAAAAGTAGTCGATATGCCTCGATTTATTTTTTCGCCGGTTCGCTTTGATTTTCGATTTCCGTTTTTTCGCCTATAATTTTTTTTTTAAATTCTATACATAATTTTTCGAATAAGAATAACATAATTTTTTTTCTTAAAATCTATACATATATAAAAGTAGTCGGTACGTCTTGATTTATTTTTTTGCCGATTCGGTTTGCTTTTTGATTTTCTTTTTTATTTTATTTATAACCATGAATGTTATATATAAAGGAGTGTTTAATAATATTTAGAGTCACCTTTTTAAATTATTTTTTCTCATTTCCAAAGTTATGATTTTTATTTTATTTTATATTTTTAATTACTTTCTCTTCTGTTATGTCGCTTTTCGTGCAAATGCACGGGGTAAAACTAGTATATATTAAAAATACACTTTTCAATTAGTTAAAAAATCAAGTATTATTAAGCATGAAAATTAATTGAAGTTTAATTATTACTATATATGTTATTAAGTAATTTAAAAATACTCAAATTATATGATTAAAGTTGACATATATAAGATCTATGAACAAGACACATCTAATATAATGATAATTTGTTTCTTAATTCAGCCCGGTATGATGTGGGACTGATTGGACGAATTTGGTTCTCGGTACGTATGTTTGTTAAATCTCAAGAATCATACCAAATCATTTATATTTCGTTTCGAAATCAAAGAAAGTTAAATGGTTAACGAATATTTTTCGGCTCTTAGTCGAGCTAACAAAGTTTGAATCTCAACTGAAGAGAACTTAAGACCAGTGTTCTAAATACCGGCCGTTACGATATTTAAAACATGGCTTAAGATAATCTGAAGCGATTGGATTAGACAAATTACGATATTTAAAACATGGCTTAAATTGTGGAGATCGAATATGTTGCACGTTTGATGTCTATGACTGTTCTGAGATATGATTTCTATTTTTTCAAGGTTTACAGAACTAATATATTTTTAAATTATATAAAATATTTAATTAACAAATTATTATATAAAATATTATGTCATATGCTTATTAAACTTATTTTTTATATTTTTTTTGCAATATTATTAAACTTATTAATAGCCTAAACTTTCTAAAGTGCCATTAAGAATCCAAATTATACCAATTAAGTTTTTAAGTGTATGATATGAAAATCCTTCTCATTCTTATCACTCAGCAAAAAATGTCGGGCAATGTCTCTACCACACCAATTGTCTTTCCCCAATTTCAACCTAACTTGCAGACCAAAGCCACTTGTTCGATCTCATCTCCTAATTGCAACCTCTGAATCAATTTCACGAGGAAATAGGAATTCAATCTAGAATTCGATCTCATTTCCCAATCTGATTTCCCAATTGGTGCTCGAAATCGTCGGCGGGGACAAGGATGTAGGCGGAGATCGTGTGCTATCTGGATGTCGACGAGTCTTGCATCTACGCCCCACTACCCAAAGCCAGTCCATTTTTATTCGCAACACAAAATCCCAAGCAGCAAGAAACTATTTTTATGAAAGCATTGATTGTGCATCTATTTCTTTTTCAGGGGGTGGGTTGAGTTATTTGATATGGATCCAGTTCCGTGGTTTGATAATTTCCTATGGAACCATGATTTACCTATGATCATGGCCTGTGAATAGAGCAAGGTTTTTGCAGCAGTTCTTTGGCGCTTATGGAAGCGACGGTGCGAGGTTGTTTTTGAAGTCGGTGGAGGGTGAGGTTGGGGGTGGTGTGAGCGGACGGCCAAGTCTGCAGCGTGGCGGAGCAGGTGGTGTGGCCGAGGGACAGCCACTTCTCGATGGAGGTCCGGTCGTGGGTCACGGAGGTGCAGAGGCTCACCAGAAACCTCATCACGCCCATGGTGATCGGGCACAACAGGTACCTGTTGTATACAATAGAAATTAAAAAATTGAAAAGAAAATTATAATTTTTATCTACCAAAACAATTAGCGGGACAAAAATTTTTGGCGCTCAAAATTTCAGCTTAATTAGGAATTTATTTATCTAATCAGGGTATAGAAACAAAGGGTTTAATGATTTCGTGCCTCCGTCAATCTCTCCCTTTTTTATTCTGCTCAAGTATATATACCGAAATAGGTTTTACTTAGCAATACATCAAAAAAAATAGTTGCAAAACACACGCCTCCCTACAATCTTTTCCTGGTGAAGTTTCTTCATCGTTTATGTATAAAATTTGTGTTTTTACAGATATTTTTAATTGGATCACCTTTATTCTGATTCTATCTTTGTATAATCAAAATATGTGACTCTATCTTTGCATAATTATAATAGCTGAAGGTGTGAACTTTTGTGTTTCATATTCTGTTTCATATTCTTTTTCATATTTTGATTCTGTGTTTGTATAATTATAACAGTTGAAGGTGTAAACTTTTGTGTTTCATATTCTATTTCATATTCTGATTCTATCTTTGGCTCCCCCTTATTCTGATTCATTTTCCGATTCTATCTTTTCCTGGTGATGAAGTCTATATTTATCTGTGATGTATAAAATTTTTGTTTTTACAGATTTTTTTTTTCATCTTTTATACACATAAAAGGCAACTGAAGGTGTAATGTTTTGTTTATTATTAAATCTTACATGTGTTATTTTCTCAGTATCTTTCATATTCTGTTCTTAGGGAATTCTAAGAACTATATATATATATATATATTGAGTCATAACGTGTATAATCACCATTGGAATGCGTAAGTTAACTATATGTGTTCTTTTTTCAATAAATAGGCATTTTCTTTTTATGTATTTCTTAGTTCTTCAAAATTGGTTTTGCAGTGATAAAATTTTTGTTGTCATATGTAGATTTCTAAGAATGGCACTAGGAATCCGTAAAACTCAAATTATTTCAAAAGCTGCTCTACAAAGCATGCTTAACCAAGCTACCAAGGATAGCTCAACTGCTGCGTCAGCTCGTATTGGAGTCAGAGAACATTTTAACCAATCAAATGTGTCATCTGCTGGAGTGACTGGAGCAAGTGGAACTACTGAAGTTCATCATGGTTCTTCCGGAGAAGGTGATAATACTACAACAAATCACACTAATAAGAGTGGCATTCTACAAACCCTTGAAACTCCCAACCCAAATCAGAATTTGAATGCAGCTGAAGGCTCAACTGGTAACCTTCAGGATACATCAGTCACAGGTACAGGTACAATATGTTCTTTACTTAGGATAGCTGTTGGAATAGTTGGAGGTACAATGTGTTTTTTACTTAGGATAACTATTGGAATAGTTGTTGTTTTCGGTGAATAATGGCTGTTAATGTTATTTTCGTTATGTTGGACTTTGTTGCTTTTGCTCCAGTGAATAATTAGTTGATGTTAATCATGGTTACTTACTGTTGGAGTAGTTGTTTCTGCTATTTTCTTTATGTTGGAGTTTGTTGTTGTTTACTTACTAAGACATGCTTCCTTTTTCCCATTTTTGCTCATTCTATTTTACTTATCAAAACGTTGTCGTTTTTGCTTGGGAACATGGATGCATGTACGGACGTGAGATATATCTCATCGTCTTGTTCCTTTTCTGAGTGTAAGCTCCATATATTTTCTCTGAAATAAGAAATGGTGTCCTCTTAAATTATCTCCCGTCGATTCAAATATTGATTTCAACAATATCAACAGAATTGCTATCGTCATGTTTGGAACCATGAATGTTCTTAATTCTTATTGCTGTGCATTCTGCCTTTTTATTTTTGTGCATATTGTGCATGCTGACTTGTGGATTATTTTGTTGTGCATGCTAGTAGCTGGTGCATGTTGGAGTTGTGCTTGTACATGCTGTTAATGAACAGAGAATATATTTAATTTCATGCTTTCTTGAAAATATTCGTGTAGGCATATTAGAAAAAAAACCATGAATTTATTTTGGATTGTCGCATTTTGTCCACTTATTTGTCTGTCAATGTTGCACAATTGTATTTTGATTTATAGATGAGTTAGAATCTTAAAAACTTTGAATGAAATAGTTGCAACGAATTAGTATATGTGTCCTCTATTAATGAAATGTAATGTTCTTTGTTAACAGACAAAGCTTCCATCCCTAAGAGAAGACGTGGTCAAACAATGGCTAAGGGAATTATGAAAGCATTTCATGCCTCTGGAAAGAAATTGAAGATAGATGTGGATCCACTGGTAGGACGGCCCAAAAGTCGAGAGCAATCTGCAAAGCTCTCAAATCAAATTGGTGTAGTAGCTCGAGATGTCCTTCCAGTGCCAAGAAAATGGAAAGAAATGGCTGAAGAAAATATGTTGGAACCAGGCATTGATCATATAAAGGTAGCTATAAAATAAGAATACAAATGACATGTTTTATTTTTCTTGTATATGTAGAAAATTGTTAAATGTGATGTTCAGATTCATATGGATGTCAACTTGGATGTACCGGGTGTGAGGCACTGCTTGGTTGATAGGTTGAAATCTACCTCTCGACAAATTCGTTACAGGTTACATAAGCATTACAAGAAGTATGCAACCCCAGAAGAAGCTAAGAATAATAAGCCAACATTTTGTGCTAGTAAAGAAAACTGGGACGAACTCTGTGATTATTTTGCATCAGCTAAGTTCAAGGTAACGTCTCTTGAGATTGGTACTCTTATTGATATATTTTGGGAATATTTCTTATGTTGCAATTTATTGTTTCAGCACCAAAGTTCAACTAACACTATGAATCGACAAATGTTAAGGACCCCGCATATATCTGGCAGAACTCCTTTTTCTACCCTTCAACATGAAATTGTAAGTTGTAAACATCCAATTATGTTTTACATTATTTACATATCCTGTACACTTTATTTTTCATATCCTGTACATTTTATTTTTATATGTAGGTTCATATCCTGGGACGAACTCTGTTTTAAATATTTTACAATTATGTTTCTAGAAAAAGGTTCATATCATGTACATTTTATTTTTATTTTTATTCTTTGCTAGGCTCAGAAGGATGTTAATAGAGTTGCTAATGGAGATGCTGATGGAGATGCTGATGCTGGGGACATAATTGAGTTCTACAAACTCACACATTGCACTGATAAACATGGTTGGTCAACTGATGAGGCAAAAGAAAATTGGGTAACTCACATTTTCATATTGCTATGTTATTTTCTTAGATAGGTATGATATATGTTTGTAATCCATCAGGAGCTGATGGTATCGAGGCGAGAAAAATATGCAGCGGAAGGAGCTGAGAAGACGAACCAAGAAATAGTTCACGAGGTGCTTGGTCCAAGATCTACTTATCTAAAGGGACTTGGTTATCAGACGAACCACTTAAATAAACGCATTTATGCTCCCGCCAACCAATATCTTCAAAAGGAAAAGGAGCTTCAGGAAACTCAAGAAAAGCTAATAGCATCAGAATCACGAGTGAGTGAGCTCATGGAACAAGTTAATGACATGAAGAACTTAATGGGCCAACAAGGTGCAGATATTGAAAAGCTTAAGGCATTCATGACTTCCAAAGGAAATAGTTGAGGTAAACAGTTTAATATAAACAATGGGGCTCATTTTTTATTTTGTGAAAATATGCTTTGATAAATGAAAATATATGTGCTAAGTTAAATGTTTTAAATTTACAGGTGAATGGATGCTAGTGGATTTACCAAGACATTTCCGACAATGTGTAATTCAGCGAGAGTAGAAAATAAGCCTATGGATTTGCAAATTTATCTCTTATATATTTATTTAGTGTCTTTTTACTTAATATTACAAGTACTATTGTTTTTGTTTTCAATCATGAATACTTCAAGTCATTCCTTCTATTGATACTCATTATCTTTAAATATGTTGTTATGTCATATCTAATTTATTGGCTAATTGCAATAGTATTATTATGAATTTTTGTGATAATTTTCAATTGGTAACTAAAAGCAATCTTTCGTGACACAACGTATGGTCAAATATAAAATCATGATATGTGGCATAAAATGGCTTATTTATGACTAATAGTTTGTCACACTAAAGTTCTTTAAAGTGACGGTACATTTGTCATAGATATTCTTTGATCATGACAAATTTATAGTCATTATACCTACATATATAGTGACAATTGTCTTTTGCGTCTTATACTTTTACTTTTTCATGATAGAATATATCGTCATATTTTTATACACATTTGGTGACGATAAACATCATGTCATATAATACGAATTTTCTATGACTAAATATATCATCACCTTTAATATATTCATATAGTGACAAAGAATGGTTCATCATTAAAACGTACTTTTATGTGACATGTTCATTCGTCATTATAAATATTTTTATTGGTGACAAAGAATATTTCATAATTAAAATGTACTTTTATGTGACATGTTCGTTCGTCATTATAAATATTTCATTGGTGACAAATAAATTTTTGTCACTATAATACAACTCTTTTATGACAAATTATATTATAGATGACAAGTCTTATATGGAAATTGAGACAAACTGACTGTCATTATATTTTAATAAAGATGACGAAAAAATTAATTTTGTCATTATATGTGATTTTTCAGATGACGAAACCATATATGTTCGTCATATAAAGGCTAACTTTTAGTGACAATTAGATAATTTTGTGACAAACATTTTATGATAAATGTGACAAATTAATCGTCACCAAATCTCACAAAGGTACAATGACAATACTAATGTTTATCACAAATACTAAACATTAGATGACAAATTGAAAAAATTGTCATATAGACCTAATATGACGCGGCTACAGTGACAAACTCTGTGACACTAAAAATTCGTCATAAAAATTATTCGGTGACGAAAATTCACATTTTTATGACAATTTTTTTTGTCATATTTTTTCAGAATTCTTGTAGTGGCTCTTTACGCAACTCGTCTAACTTATCGAATTCTTTATCCTGCAACCTCCTTCTTTTGCCAATGCGTTTCAACTATTTGATTTCTTCTTTGACCTCTTTGATCCAGCACTCTAACTTCATCTTCTCCATTCGATCCCTCCACTCCAAATTACTCATTAACTTTTTTTTTAACACTCACGCAAAACCCCAAAACAAACTTTTTTCTTTTAATATTAATAAACAACTAATAATATACTAATCCTAACTTGTGCCGCTTAACAAACTAACACGGCAAAACAAATCTTTAATAATTTTTTTTTTTACGCCAAAACACTGTGTCGATCTAATCTCTCAATTTCAACCTAAAAACTGAATCAATTTCAAGAGGGAATAGGAATTAAATCTTGCGCCATTGATGACGTATGCCACTTGGTGCTCGAAACTGTCGGCGAGGACGAGGACGGAGTCGGAGATCGTGCGTTATCTGGAGGTCGACTAGTCGGTGGAGGGTGAGGTTGTGGGTGGTGTGAGCGGACGGCCGACTCTGCAGCGTGGGGGAGCAGGTGGTGTGGTCGAGGGACAACCACTTTTCGATGGAGGTCCGGTGGTCGGTCACGCCGGTGCAAAGGCTCGGTAGAGACATCATCATGCCCAGAAGCTCGCCGACTCAGATTTCTGCAATTCTTTCTTGAACCAGATGTGGAGCCACGAGATGCTGGCCAAGTTCCTCCAAGCCGCAGATGGAGATGGTGATCTACGGCATCGGCAACATTGGGGCTTCTTAGTGAACTGCCTTCTAAAGACTTCTTAGTCGATGAAAGATTCATTCGAGCCATTTGGATGCTGCTCGAGCTCGCTGTC